CGTCAAACTAAAGGGGGAGGAGTCAGTCTGAACGGACCGTCATAAAATCACGATTAAGGTTCAGTCATGTGCTGACTCTGCACAAACTCTTCATCATCATTTCATCATCATCATCGTCATCCTCAGTGTGAACAAACAGCAGAGGGTGGAGGAGGTCTGACAGGAGAGGGATACCGTCATGTGTTCATCGCACACACACACACGCACACACACACACACACGCACACACACACACACACGCACACACACACACACACAGTCTCCTGTGATCCTGCAGCTCTGGTTGCTGCAGTGATGCTCGTCCTTCTATTTGAATTTAGCTAATGGCATTAAAACACACACACACATATAACCACAAGAGCACTGTGCCCCTCTCCATCCTGTGCTCTTTGCTGTGTGTGTGTGTGTGTGTGTGTGTGTGTGTGTGTGTGACCCTCCCTGATGCTCTCTCTCTCTCTGCAGAGGTGTCCACAGCCTGCTGACTCACTCACAGATAAATGGACCACTCGGAGAGAATCGGGTTAGATGTAAACGTGCGTGCGTGCGTGCGTGCGTGTGCGTGTGTGTGTGTGTGGCGGCTCAGCATGTGGGTCACCTGGAGTCTGTTTAAAACTGATCAGGTGATCGGAGAGCGTGAGTCAATCAGAGGGTAACCCGGGGTTTCCACCACATCCGGAACGGCGGCGATACATACAAATATACATATATATACATATTTATATATACATATATATGTATATATAAATATGTATATTTATATATGTATATTTAAATATGTATGTATGTATAAACAGTCCAGACTGATGCTAACGGGTCAAACTGTCTTTTGTTTTTGTCCTCAGGTAATAAACGTAAAGGTCTGCAGTGGGTCATAGACGTGACCATAGCGTACCCCAAAGCCAGACCCATGGACATCCAGACCTGGATCTTTGGCTACAGGCCCCCTACAGTCACACACGTCCATTACAGGTAAGAATGACACCTGGGGTCACATGACCTCTCACACACACTTCCTCTGACCGCCCTGTTTGTCATGAGAGTAAAAACAGCAGAGGCTTCTTTTCTATGCAAATGAAAAACGCCGCCAACATGCAAAAAACGGGCGGCTCATGGAAATGTTGGCGGTGATGTCATCAGGAGGAGGCGAGGAAACACTGATGGTTGGAAAGAGGAGTGTTTAATCCAGGGGGGTCACCACGGAGACCCCACTCACTCTCCTGTACCTGAACACCCTCCATCTTCATCCTCCTCCTCCTCACCTCCAACTCCCCCCTTTAACCTTGAGTAACCTCCTGACACAGACCGTGTGTGTGTCTGTCAGTCCGTTTCCATGACACTGGAGAAAACCGAATTATCGCCTTATTCCGATAAAGACCGGACAACTGAAGGTCATGTAAACACCTTAGTCTGATTAAGACACCCAGATGATGTGATTGTAATCCGATTTTCTCTTCCATGTAACCAGCGTAGTCGGAGTATGATCGGACACGCCCCTTTAACCCCGTACCAAACCCCCAGAGTAGAGGAGTAGCGTTGGTCTCCTCTTTAGAAAAAGTAGCGCGTCCATCATGTCGGACAAAAACAACGCTGTACGATGCTCCATCTTCTTGTTTCTCCAGCAGCAGTTGTAGACACTTCTGACGTCTGACACCGACCTGCTGTTGTTGTTGACGGTTGTCTGTGAACGTGTGTGTGTGTGTGTGTGTGTGTGTGTGTGTGTGTGTGTGTGTGTGTGTGTGTGTGTGTGTGTGTGTGTGTGTGTGTGTGTCAGAGGTGAGAGAGGACAGAGCCAAATGTGATTTATGAACCCCGGTCTTCCCGGCTCCTCTCTGGAGGTTTAACTCCCACATGGTCCAGATCTAAGGACTCATTAGTCTGTAATTAGACCAGCAGAGGGTACACACACACACACACACACACACACACACACACACACACACAGACACACACACACACAGACACACACACACACACACACACACACACACTTGGTCAGCAGTTCTGAGACTGACGGGTCTGAAGGTTTAGCTGCTCTTGGTCCGACTTCAGCAGGTTCAGGTCCAGCTGTGGAGACGGTTCTGATCCTGCTGAAGTCGGACTCCTGCTGGTCCAGGTGCAGAGTCTGCTGTGGGGGGGGGCAGGTCAGGGAGACACCTGAAGACCAGGTTCCTGCTGCTGTGTCAGTGAAGGAGAAATCCTCCTGAGAGGGTCCAACAAAAACAGAACCATGAAGAATATTATGGGATGGAAAAAGATTCAGAACACAGATCTCCTCAGGAACAAGGAGACCAGAACAGGGACCAGGAACTGGACTTACCTGACTGATGAAGAACTGACTGATCAGGAGTTCTGAGTTTTTACAGTCAGCTGTTGTTGTTGGAGCCGACAGACACAGACAGACACAGACAGACACAGACAGACAGACACAGACAGACAGACACAGACGGACACAGACAGACACGGACGACACAGACAGACAGACACGGATGGACACAGACAGACACAGACGGACACGGACGGACACAGACAGACACGGACGGACACAGACAGATGGACAGACAGACAGACAGACACAGACAGATGGACAGACAGACAGACACAGACGGACACAGACAGACACGGACGGACACAGACAGATGGACAGACAGACACAGACAGACACAGACGGACACGGACGGACACAGACAGACACAGACAGATGGACAGACAGACACAGACAGACACAGACGGACACGGACGGACACAGACAGACACAGACAGATGGACAGACAGACAGACAGACAGACACAGACAGACACAGACAGACAGACACAGACGGACACAGACAGATAGACAGACAGACACGGACAGACACAGACAGACACAGACAGACACGGACGGACACAGACAGACACAGACGGACAGACAGACGGATGGACACGGACAGACAGACAGACACAGACGGACAGACAGACAGACAGACACAGACGGATGGACGGACAGACAGACAGACAGACAGACACAGACAGATGGACAGACAGACAGACAGACGGACACACCCCTTAACGACCTTTAGGACGAGGACTCTGAAGTTCCAAACAGCCTGTTTTTTTTTTTCTGAAGCTTCTTCTTGAGTTGGAGGAACAAAGATCCTCCTGAGTCTGTCCTGATGAGGATGTGGCTCCAGGTGTCTGTCCCTCACCTGTCCTGGTGTCCGTCCCTCACCTGTCCCGGTGTCTGTCCCTCACCTGTCCTGGTGTCTGTCCCTCACCTGTCCCGGTGTCTGTCCCTCACCTGTCCTGGTGTCTGTCCCTCACCTGTCCAGGTGTCTGTCCCTCACCTGTCCAGGTGTCTGTCCCTCACCTGTCCTGGTGTCTGTCCCTCACCTGTCCTCTTGAGTCTCTGTGTTCGGTCCCATGAACTGCAGCACAGGTACAAAGATCAGATGGACTCAGAGTTCCTGGGTCAGACAGTCCTGTGTTGTCCTGGACCTCAGACCCCGCCCCCCTCCTGTACCTGAGGTCTTCTGTAGTCCTGGACCTCAGACCCCGCCCCCCCTCCGTACCTGAGACCTTCAGGGGAAACAGACAGCTGAGAAGATTCCAGATGAGTCCCCTCTGAGCGCTCGCTCCTTTTTTTTTTAATCCCTCCACCTCTGTGGTTTTCCCCTCGCTGTCTCCGCTCCTCGCCCTTTGGCCCCGCCCTCCCTCCCTTCCTCTCCTCATATAGTCTCGCTCTTCCAGATTGCAGCATCATAAGCCGTGGATGAATGGCAGATGGGAGTTGTAGGTGGGCGTAGTGAGGCCTGGTCAGGGCAGCAGTGGGTGTTAAACACGTCTCCCCCCTCTCTCTCTTTTTTCCGTCTGCTCGGCGTGTTTCTGAAAATCTCTCTGAAGGTGATTTATGGACTCTGCCTGCTCATCACACGGACGTTTGGAGCTGCACACCTGGTTTTTCTCTCTCAGAAGTGTTGAGTTTGCAGACGTAGAGCTGCAGCTTTTTAAAGATGTCTGACGACGCTGCAGGTTCTTCCTCTTTGCTTACAGAGAGATCTAGATGTCCTAGATTCACCATCGATAACTCTTCCTGTCTGTCTGTCTGTGAGGACCTCCTCTGTGAGGACCACCTTTAGGGTCTTTACGGGACACTCGTCGCCTTAGAAACTCGTCACAGGAGTTTTGCGGAGGAGGACACGTTCACGTCAATAATTCGATTTTCTCAGCTGCACGTAAACGAGGACAAGGAGAGAAGTCGGATTCAACTCTGTGCGTGCGTGTGTGTGTGTGTGTGTGTGTGTGTGTGTGTGTGTGTGTGTGTGTGTGTGAGTGCATGTGTGTACGTGTGTGTGTACGTGTGTGTGTGTGTGTGTGTGTGCGTGTGTGTGTGTGTGCGTGTGTGTGTGTGTGCGTGCGTGCGTGCGTGCGTGCGTGCGTGTGTGTGTGCGTGTGTGTGTGTGTGTGCGTGTGCGTGTGCGTGTGCGTGTGCGTGTGCGTGTGTCTGTGCGTGTGCGTGTGCGTGTGCGTGTGCGTGTGCGTCACGACCTGAGTGAGAGTGAATCCAGATGGGGGCGGGTCAGAAGAAGAACCCTGTCCCTCACAGAAACACATGACGCTCCGGACCGGGGGGGGGACAAACCCACTCCACTCACAGAACTCTCCGCAGGGTCGCCTCTCCATCACTTAGTCATGAATATCCAGAACCAGAACCAGAACCAGGCGCCTGAGATCAGCGGGGAACAGACCCGAACCCTGACCCAGCAGCAGTGAAGGACTTTGGACACAACTGAAGGACTCTTCAGACCCTCACAGTCGGGTCTTGTGATACCGGGTCAGTACAGACAACATCCTGCTGCAGCGGACCTTCAGTACCAAGCTCTGCAGTGATGCATGATGGGAATGAAGGAGAAAAGGGAGGAGGAGGAGCTCTGGACTTGAAAAGTTTGAGGGTTCTTCAGTTTGTTGTTGTTCAGGTGAAAACTGTTTCCTGCTGGTTTCTGATTGGATGATGAGACACACCTGGTGGATTCTAATGAGGAAGTAGTTGAATAAACCGAGTGTAGAGAGGGGGTCCAGGTGGGGCTCTGTATGGATCTGCTTCTGTGGTCACCTCAGAACCATCAGGCTGACCTCTCACCTGTGTGGTTATCAAGTCTGCTCCAGCCCCGTCATTGTCTTCTTCTTCTTCGGTGGTTTTATGGCCTCTTACTCACGACCTCTGCACCCATAAGAGGTCGGCGCTCCCGGGCGAGGCCGTCATTAACCTTTCCTCCACTCTTCCAACACCCTCCACCCCTCCCTGTGTCCTCACATGACCTCAGCTCCACCCGTGACAGAGGGCTGCTCCACGTCGACTCTCAGGGATCAAAGTTTAAGGTCCAGTTCTGCTGAAGCTCGGATCAGCCAATCAGGAGAGACCGTCATAATGATGTCATTTATTTCACTGAGATCTCCCAACGAGCCGTTTTAACCCTCGAAACGCTGCTGAGGAGGAATCAGCTGATCAATAAAAACACTGTCGTCAAAGAGATCGGATACTAAAGGTTAACTGTGAGATTCTCGACCAGGAAACAGAAAAAAACTACAACAGGAAACAGGAAAACTACAACAGGAAACAAAAAAAACTTCAACAGGAAACAGGAAGAAACTACAACAGAAAACAGGAAAAAACTACAACAGAAAACAGAAATAAACTACAACAGGAAACAGAAAAAAACTACAACAGAAAACAGGAAAAAACTACAACAGGAAACAGAAAAAAACTACAACAGGAAACAGAAAAAAACTACAACAGGAAACAGAAAAAAAACTACAACAGGAAACGGGAAAAAACTACAACAGAAAACAGAAATAAACTACAACAGGAAACAGGAAAAAACTACAACATGAAATGGAAATACATTTCAACAGGACTTTCTCTTTTCTTTGTTTTGTTGTTTTTTGTTGGTTCGACTTCAGTGAAGATTTTTTTTAATGAGATTTCTTCGACAGCCGAGCAGTTTCAGATTCAGTTTCAGTTTCAGATTCAGATTCAGTTTCAGATTCAGATTCAGTTTCAGATTCAGATTCAGTTTCAGATTCAGCGCCACAGTCTGTTTGGAGTCCTGATGTTCGGTCCTGGGTCTGATGATACCGGTCTCTGTTCTGGTTGTTCGGTCCTGTGAGTCCACAGGTGGTGGTTCTGTGACGTGGTCTTGTGGACCTGTACTCCTCAGCTGATCTTCCGTTTATCCGTTTGTCCTTTTTTTGTACGTCTGCTGATGAAGACTCTGTGGAGTTTGTTACCAAACTGTTTCCTGGAACACAGACGGCGCTGAAACAGACAGGAAGCAGATTAAAGACTAAATGGACCAATTAAAGAGCTCACTCCCACCCTCCCTCAACTTCCCTCTGATGGCTGATAAGCAGCCGGCGTTCTGTGGGTTAGAGCCCCCCCTGAGTCAGGCAGAGAGAGAGTGTGGTTTACTTTACCAGGAGGTCTGCTTCATCATCATTATCATCATCATCATCATCATCATCGATCCACACAGCTTTTACATAACCCCATCATGGCTCTGTCATCCACAACAACAACACCGCCGCCGCTGCTGCTGCCGCTGCTGCCGCCGCTGCTGCCGCCGCTGCTGCTGCTGCTGCTGCTGCTCTCTGTTTAAGGGGGGGGGGGGGGCAGAGAGGGAGAGTTCAGAGCAGTACTTTGGTATTTTGGGTATTTGGACCTGATGAAGTCTCTTATCTCACAGCCGGAGTTTCTCCCTCTGGGGGGTCCCGTGGACCCTCCTGTCTGCTAATCTCTATATTCACAAACACTGACCCGGTCTCTCAGGGCCCCTCAGCACCACAGAGTCCCCCAAACAAAGACCGACCCCCCTCCAAAGAGGTCTGTGGAGTGGACAGAGTTCAGCTTCCTCACCTCCTTAGAGGAGGAGCCCGGGTCTGAGGAGACCAGGTCTGAGGAGCCGGGGTCTGAGGAGACCAGGTCTGAGGAGCCGGGGTCTGAGGAGCCCGGGTCTGAGGAGCCGGGGTCTGTGGAGACCGGGTCTGAACAGGAGCTGGATGATCAGTCAGTGGTCCTGAGAAACCAGGATGAGTTCTTCCTCCTGATGGACTCTGTGGTTCAGAGAAACTGTCTCAGCAGGGTGTCAGGTTAACTGGCGGCCCGCTGCCAAGTGGGTTAGGGTGGAAATGTGAGCGGAGCCGTGGCGCCGTGCCAACACGTCACCGCCGTTTCCTCTCCACCAGCATCAGTGTTGTTCGGCGTGACGGCGCTCGGCTCAGAACAACAAACAGCAGCAGACGACCCGTGTTTCCTTTCACTCTGATGACAGACGAGAGTTTCCTCCACCGAGGAGCAGAGCCGCCGTCTACACTGACCCATCCAGGTCTGTAGAGTTCTGAAGAACCAGCAGGAGACCGTTTGGACTTCTTACAGACAGGCCATGAAAAACTCACAAAAACCACCGCTGACAAAGTCCAGCGTCTTCTGGACCTCGCAGAGAGGACCCCAGTCCTGTACCAGCTCTCTCTGAGAGCCCAACATTCATCCTCGGGTTTGAAGTTCTTGTTGTTCCACGGTCTGAACCACCGCGGTCCAAAGTGAGACCCTCCTCCATGTTCCCATGAAGAACCCGTCCCATCAGCTGATCTTCGAGGACCTTCTCATCGTTTCTCTGCTTCTTTTCAAAGTCTCAGTCCTTCACACTTGAACTCCAGCGGTCCTCAGAATCTCTGAAAGATCCGGATCACTTCACCTGCTGCCCACAGTCCTAAATACTGGAACCTGGAGGCCCAAAGCCGGTTCCTCTGAGCTCCTCCAGGAGAACACAGAGACCCTCCCTCCTGGTCTGGACTCACCAATATTTGATAACAGTCCAAGAGTTTCCAGGTCTACAGCTGCTTTCTGGAAGCTCCTGGACTTTTCCAGGACCCTGCTGAGAGTGCCCTGGAGAAACCCCGTCTGAGAGACCTGCAGGACAAGGGTCTGAAGATCTGAACCAAGTCTGGGTCCGATCATCGGCCCGGCCTCTCAGACCTGTGCGGCTGTTAACGGCGTTTTCAGATGATCAATGATCAATAACTGGAACGATCTGAAGGTCGTGATCGTTTTATTCTGGAAACATCGTCTGTGGATTTCAAGGACTCAAGGACTCAAAGACTCAAACTTCTGAAGTCCTGGAAAGTTTGGGAGGATTTCCTGGAGCTCTTGAACCTTAGATCCATGTCAGAGACGTTTAGATTCCCGTGAATAAAGTTTTCATTCAGGAAGTGACCTCATGATGAACTCATTCATTCATTCATCCTGGAAAAGGTTTGTCGTCGGTGTGGGACCCACTCCTGAGTGTGCGTGTTGTTGTTGTGATTCTGGGGTCAGTGTAAGAGAACCACCGTGGCTGCTGATTGGCTGATACCTGCGGTCAGAGATGAAACACTTCCTGTTCCTGCGTTCAAACCATCAGACATCACAGAACAGACAGGACGCCGCCGCCCCCGCCTCCGCTGAGATATGTGCTTTTAAATACAAGCCGATCACTCTGGTAATCAATACGTCTCCACCCACTGACGAAGCGTCCTCCAGGATGTAGTTGAAGAGTGATGGGAGCAGAGGAAGTGCTGCTGTGAGCGAGGAGGAGGAGGAGGAGACAGTAACCTCTGTTTGAAGGTGACCAGCAGAGGCAGCAGAGCGCTGAGGACCCCTTCTGGCTGTAAAGAACATCAGCAGCTGTTTTCACACCGTCAGCGCAGTCTGACCTTATTTTTTTATTTAAGTCATCATAAATATTCTGTCTATTTTATAAGTGATTTTATAAATAAATATATTTTTTTATTTAAACTCGACTCACAGACTGTCTCTGCTGAGGAGATGCTGCTGAAATATTAAAAACTAAAATTAAAGTCAGAGAAGAAAACTGCAAACATCAGCGGAGCGTCCGTTTTAAATCTATAACCCTGATAATAATAATAATAAGTCAGTGTGTCACATCTGTATGACGTCTGCTCTTTCACTTCTCATGTGTTCATTCACTCACCTTCAGGCTGCTCAGGTCTCATCTGTGTGTGGGAAACACCGAGGTGTTCTAATGAGGATGAAAGGGTGAAAGTACAACATCTATGATTTAAAATATCATACAAAAGCAAACAACCTCACAACAACGAGAAAAAATAAGACAAGTTAAAAGATGAGACATGATGAGAAACGATGAGAGGAGATAAAGATGAGAAACAGGAAGTGAAGAAGGTAAATCTGATCTCCTTCAGCGTTCCTGAGGACGTTCTCATTCCGATCTCTGCTCCTCTCAGAGAAGTGAAGGTCTTTGAGTCTCAGGCTGTTCATGTCGTCCTTTACTGCAGCCCATGATACAGTCATGTGACTCTAAAATCACTATGGCAACCAAATAAACAGAACAGTGTAGGTCTCCCACTGCTCACAGAGATGGTTGTAATCAGAGTTAACGGTGAGAAAACCGACCGAGGACAGACTAAAGACTGACCGAGGACAGACTAAAGACTGACCGAGGACAGACTAAAGACTGACCGAGGACTGACAAAAGACTGACCGAGGACAGACTAAAGACTGACCGAGGACTGACTAAAGACTGACCGAGGACAGACTAAAGACTGACCGAGGACAGACTAAAGACTGACCGAGGACAGACTAAAGACTGACCGAGGACAGACTAAAGACTGACCGAGGACTAAAGACTGACCGAGGACTGACAAAAGACTGACCGAGGACAGACTAAAGACTGACCGAGGACAGACTAAAGACTGACCGAGGACTGACTAAAGACTGACCGAGGACAGACTAAAGACTGACCGAGGACTGACAAAAGACTGACCGAGGACAGACTAAAGACTGACCGAGGACAGACTAAAGACTGACCGAGGACAGACTAAAGACTGACCGAGGACAGACTAAAGACTGACCGAGGACAGACTAAAGACTGACCGAGGACTGAGTTACAGGAGCAAAAGACAGATCGAAGACCCAGAGTCCTCCTCCTGACCCGTCTGTCTCCTCTGAAACTCTGATAAATTCTCCTAAAACAAGTCCACCATGACAGCCTCGCCCTGCTGAGACCAAGACTGACTCCCCGGGTGTGTGGGGGTCTCTGTCTTCAGGTCTCCTCTGTGTAGACATGAGAGACCTCAGTGGTCCTGGTTTGTGTCCTGATCTCTCCCTGTCTCTTTAGGATGTACCCCATAAAGGAGGTTCCTGTGGAGGCCGAGGCCCTCACTGACTGGCTCTACCAACGGTTTGTGGAGAAGGAGGATCTGCTGGCCCACTTCTACGACACAGGTCTGTAAAATTAATTCAGGGTCAAACCCACCGTAACACCGAGTTAGACCCCCCCCCCCAGAGATGAATGTTGTCGACCGCTTGCTTCTCTAGTTATACCAACTTTAGTAACGACCGCAGGATAGAAATACAGAGAGCCACGCCCCCAACCAAAACGCCACTCTATAGCCACAAATAATGCTCAGAACAGCACCTAACTTCATCAACAGGACATATAGGGTCACAGACATAGTACTATATTCAGAGTTGTTCTAACTCCTAAGAAAACATAAACTTAAGCGGGGGCGTTTCTCCACCTCTGTAGTCTATAAACTGGGCCGATAAACTTCTACTGTAGTAAAATGAAAAGGTAAAGGTGTTTTTATTGAGCCGAATTATCAATAAAATCATGATTTTGTTAACAGGTATGGATTTATGTGCTGTCGAGTTAATATATTTGAACAAGAGCACAGTAAAGTTAAATCAGCTAATTTTCCAATGAGGTTCTGTTACTGAACAGAACTACACCATGATCTACTGAGGTTAGTACATATAGGGTCACAGACATAGTACTAGACACCAAACATCTTTGTAACTTTGACTCATTTCTTTAGCAAAGAGACTAAACACAACTCACCTACTCTCTTCCAGCAGACGCTTGTTTGTAGAGAGACCTCAGGCCAGTCCATTACAGACTACAGCGGGGTGCCGCAGCTCAAGGAAGAACATTTATGATCATTTCTTCATGGAAATACAATCAGACCGAGACGCTAAGACAGAAGAACTACCGCGTCTGTAAAATGATTAATATGGTGATTATTACTTCAAGGAAATGATAAAGAAATGATCATAAATGTTCTTCCTTGAGCTGCGGCACCCCGCTTTAATGTGACGCTGATGTAAACTCTTCTGATTGGTCAATGTTTTGTCCTCCAGGATCGTTCCCTCCTGAGGACGGACAGAAGGAGGCGGCTCCTCGACAGATGACCCTTGACCCCGTGTGGCTGTGCATGATCCAGTCGTTTGCTTTCATCTCGGGCTACATGTGGTACCGGGTCCTCCAGAACCTCTACTGCTCTTTATTCTGAGGAGGCGGGTCTTAGCGGGACTTCTGGAAAAGCCTCAGGATCAGTTGGTGAACGGCCCGGTGCCCCCCCCCCCCAAAACAACGATGGATGAATGTAGACTGACCCCGCCCCCACAGTCTGAAACTGGTCACATGATAGTTAAACTGGTCACAGTCCAAACGCCGCACTCCAGTAATCTCTCACACTCATCACCACCACTCACATCTGGATGTTTACACACACACACACACACACACACACACAGGTACGTGAGTTTTTATTTAGAGACTCAGGACTGAACCCCCCCCCCAGGCTTTAGCCGCTGTAGTTTGACAAGATGGACGTGTCTGAGCGCAGCATCTAGAGGATGAACGTCTTTGTCTGGACATGTATGAGAGCAGCATCTAGAGGATGAACGTCTATGTATAGACGTGTCTGAGAGCAGCATCTAGAGGATGAACGTCTTTGTATAGACGTGTCTGAGAGCAGCATCTAGAGGATGAACGTCTATGTATAGACGTGTCTGAGAGCAGCATCTAGAGGATGAACGTCTACTCCTCCTTCCTGCTGAGAGTCGATGAAGCCCACAGACCCACAGCTGAAGAGCTGACCACGCCCTCCCAGAGCGAGCGGCTGTTCCAGCGTTGAGGCTGCGCCGCCGGCCGCTCCTCTGGCCTCCATTGCACTAAGGATCCATACTGCCCTCCCCCTCGCCACTCCCTGTCGCCCCCCGGTGGTCGCTGTTTTTGTCTGTGTTTCTTTCTTTTCTTCTTCGGACCCACATATCTCCACAGAAACAGCCGTTGGACTCGACGTGGTTTCCTTTCCTCCTGTCTGTCTTTATTCTGAGAACACAGAGGGGGGTCGTGTTTACACTGGCGGCCATGATGGCGAGCGTGATGAAGGGTCACCTCTGTGTGGGACGTTAAAGGGAGGGACAGGAGGCGGTGCTGTAGTCCTAGATTAAAAATAACGAGCTGGCCGAGAGTTTCCGTCTGATCGCTTCAAAAAAATGAAAAAACAAAAAACTCCTGTGGACCCCCCCCCCACACACACACACACACTCTTCAGTCACACACAAATACACACTTTGTGCACACACAGCCGTGTGCAACTACACACAGCAGAGTCCACATGGGTGTGGATCCTCTCTGAAGGCCGAGACTCTCCGTCGTCTTCGTCGTCCCTCATGGACTCCATAGTTTTACAAATATTTAAGCCATATGCTCGGAGTGATCGGGGCCGGACAGAACTGGACTGAACCGGGTCTTCTCAGAACCCGGTCTTCTCAGAACCTGGTCTTCTCAGAACCTGGTCTTCTTAGAACCGGGTTTTCTGCCCCCATGTTCAAAAATAGAGATTTGGGCTTACAGAACTTTAGGTGTCATTACTGTAAATTTACAGCATAACCTGCCTAAGTGAGTGTGAGTGTGAGTGTGTGTGTGTGTGTGTGAGTGTGTGTGTGTGTGTGTGAGTGTGTGTGTGTGTGTGTGTGTGTGTGTGTGTGTGTGTGTGTGTGTGTGTGTGTGTGTGTGTGTGTGTGTGTGTGCGTGCATGAGTGTGTGCGTGCGTGTGAGTGTGTGTGTGTGTGTGTGGTCGGTCGTCTTTTCCTCCTTTTTGATAAATACCATTCTTCACACGGTGACATCAGAGCGCAGCAGCGGCGGCGGCGGCGGATTCACCTGGGGTGGTGGACTTTAGAGTTCCTGGTACACAGACCCTGGTCCTCCTGGTCCTCCTGGTTCTCCTGGTCCTCCTGGTCCTGGTCTGTTTCAATCTTGTACATACTGAAGCTGAGGAGGAAATGACTGCAGCAGCTTTCTCTGTTTTTAATTTTGGTCCGTGACGATTTCAGAGGATGTGAGACGAAGATATCAAGTTTATTTTGTTTTTATTTGTTTTTATTTTGTTTTATCTTGTTTTACTTGTTTTATTTTGAAGTTGAGGATGTGGGCAGAGATGTTTTCACCTCTCAGTGTTATCCTGTGATTTTAATTTATTTCAGTTTTGGTTTCATGGTTTCAAAGTTCCTGACCCGGACGGGGCCACCTGCCTGTCTGTGTGGCGGCGGCGGAGCGTCGGCCCGGTTTCAGAAGATCATACTGTCGTAAATTTAAATCAGGACTTTGTGGAAAACCTGGACTATCAAGCCTTACCTGAAGTCCAGGTGGACCCGGTCCCAGACGATGCTGTTCCCCTGCACTCTAATGAGGTTTGATGGTTCGGAGGTCAAACGTGGAGGAAGTCACGGTTCTTCACCTCTGAAGGAGACTCTGGCGGGGCCCTGAATGACTCAGCTGAATGTTCTCGTGGTTCTAAGAATCACGTCTGTCTGATCGCCATCATTGGTGCATTAAAAGAGGAAGCCCCGCCCCCTTCCTGCCGTGTTTCGCCGTTAGTCCAAACCGTCTGTGTGAAGTTAATAAAGGGCTACCTCACCGGGTAGGTAAACTCCTGTCAGCTCCTCCTCCAGCGGCCCTCTCAGACTCTCCTCCACGGTGAGAAAAAAAAAAACTCCATTTTATTATTTTAATTTTTTTTATCATGTTTGACTTTTATTCTTTTTTAATTTTCTCACCATGTTTCCAAAGAAGGCAGCAGGGAAATGATGTTTTCCTAGACGTGGTTTTAGGAAATCAGCTCCATAGGGATTTAAAGAAATCTAGAACTGTCTGTAATTTTCCATTTTGTACTTCTCCTTTAATTCCTAGCTACACAGCCATTTTACAACACAGAAGACTTGTGCTGGAATAAAACATCCTAAAGATCCCAACAGTCGAATTCTTCTCTTTATTCAGTCTCTGAACACAGGAGGAGGAGGAGGAGGAGGAGGAGGAGGAGCTCCACGGCGTCCTGGAGGAGAAACCCAGAGAGGACTTCCTTCACCTCCTGATTCCAGTGACCGTTTTTAAAATGGCGGAAACGTGACGCTGTAAATTCACGGAGAATATTCAGACGGGCTCAGTGATCTTTCTAACATCGCTGAGACGGAGAGATCCAAGAGTTCAGTCAGGAGGCGTGGCCACCTGAACCTTACAGCAAAAATCAACACGTCTGAAGTAGCACAGTTAAAGGGATATTACGGTGTGAAATTAACCCTCTTTACCCCAGTACTCTGTCTGTGACCCTCTATGTCCTGTTGATGAAGTTAGGTGCTGTTCTGAGCATTATTTGTGGCTATAGAGTGGCGTTTTGGTTGGGGGCGTGGCTCTCTGTATTTCTATCCTGCGGTCGTTACTAAAGTTGGTATAACTAGAGAAGCAAGCGGTCGACAACATTCATCTCTGGAGGGGGCGGGGTCTAACTCGGTGTTACGGTGGGTTTGACCCTGAATTAATTTTACGACAGAATATCCCTTTAAATCAGGAGGCGTGGCCACCTGAGCCTTACACCAAAAATCAACACGTCTGAAGTAGCACAGTTACCGTCATGTCTGAGGGTGGACGTGATGAAGCGCTCTTTGACAGCAGGACGGTCAGTTAGCTCCAGAGAACATGGATCTGCTCCTCCAGCTCCTCTCAGGTTCTCGTCTCGCCGTTCTGAATCCTGAGGGGACAGAAAGTTCTGGAGAGTTAAACCAGAACATGGTCTCTTCATGGTTCTGATGGGATCAGAGAACCAGCTGAGAAACCGGGCCGTGGAGCAGGACAGAGTTAGTCTTCATCAAACCCAGAACCTTTAGTGACCGCAGAGGTCGTCTGATAATTGATCAGAACATCAGGGTGTCGTCAATAAAACAGGTGATCGATCTCCTGAGAGGCTGAAGAACGTCGTCTCTGATCAGAGGAAGACGACATCTTTAAAACGGCGAGTTTCAGTGTTTTCAGAGATCATGATGGTCTTTCCTCTGATGTTGGAGAAAATGAAGGTCAGAGTGACATCAGTGCCCCCCCAACACACAGACAGACAGACACAGACAGACAGACACAGACAGACAGACACACACACACACACACAGACAGACAGACACACACACACACACACAGACAGACAGACAGACACACACACAGACAGACAGACAGACAGACCCCTCCCTGACAGCAGATAGAAGAGCTGCTGTCTTTCTGTGTTTCTGTGTTTCTGTCTTCAGCTTCACTGAGTTCATGAAAAAGACAAACTAAAGGAGAGAAACACGGTCAGCTGTTACAGCAGGTCTGTGTCTGTGTGTCTGTGTGTGTGTCTGTGTGTCTGTCTGTCCTCTCTGCTCCCGGCCTTCAGCTGACGTCAGATCAGCCCCCCCCCCCCCCCGACTGTTCCTGGCTGTTGTCCAAACTCCTCCAGCTCTTTGTAGGAGTGACCTTTGCAGAGGCAGACTGACTGTGTGTGTGTGTGTGTGTGTGTGCGTGTGTGTGTGTGTGTGTGTGTGTGTGTGTTGTTACCGTGGCAGCCCCACAGAGAGTCTGAGGATCATCTAAACTTAAACAGAAATCTCCTCGGACCTTCAGCACCGCCGTGGTTCTGCCATCATCATCATCATCCTCCATGGTGATAATCTGCTCTAATCTCTTTGATCGAGTTTGAATTAGGAGATTATTTTCTAATGTGACCCGGAGTTAAAATAAAGACAATAATCAATAAGATTATAATAATCAATAAGATTATAATAAAGAAACTTTAATCCTTCAGAAGCAGCAGGAGGAGAAAAACACCGAGTTCAGGAAAACGACCGAAAACGGCCGAAGAATTTCAGAGAGAAATGATCATTATTGATCATTATTGATCATTATTGATCACTGATTTTAAAGGTTTCTGATCATAGAGAAATGATCATTATTGATCATTATTGATCACTGTTCTTAAAGGTTTCTGATCATAGAGAATCACTATTGATCACTGTTCTTAAAGGTTTCTGATCATAGAGAAATGATCATTATTGATCATTATTGATCACTGTTCTTAAAGGTTTCTGATCATAGAGAAATGATCATTATTGATCACTGATTTTAAAGGTTTCTGATCATAGAGAAATGATCATTATTGATCATTATTGATCACTGTTCTTAAAGGTTTCTGATCATAGAGAAATGATCATTATTGATCACTGTTCTTAAAGGTTTCTGATCATAGAGAAATGATCATTATTGATCATTATTGATCACTGTTCTTAAAGGTTTCTGATCATAGAGAAATGATCATTATTGATCATTATTGATCACTGTTCTTAAAGGTTTCTGATCATAGAGAAATGATCATTATTGATCACTGTTCTTAAAGGTTTCTGATCATAGAGAAATGATCATTATTGATCACTGTTCTTAAAGGTTTCTGATCATAGAGAAATGATCATTATTGATCACTGATTTTAAAGGTTTCTGATCATAGAGAAATGATCATTATTGATCATTATTGATCACTGATTTTAAAGGTTTCTGATCATAGAGAATTGATCGATCATTATTGATCACTGTTTTTAAAGGTCCCCCCCCCAACACTAACAGAGGACCTGGACCTGGACCTGGACCTGGACGTCTCTGTTGGACTTTGGGGTCTTTCAGGTCCTCCCGGTTCTGAAACAAAGACCAGAATCACTCTCTCATGTTTCTGCTCTGATGACAGTCTGAGACTGATTCATGTGTTCACCAACATGAGAGGATTACTGAAGGAGACCCCAAACCCAAACATACATATATAATTATAAACCTAAACGGAAACCTTCTCTCTAAAACATTTAAACTCTTAATTTTTATGTTCATGTCTTTCTTTTCTGTTTATTTTGAGGATTTTTGGCGCCATCTTGTGGACAAACAACCATTTACCCGCCATCCCTCGCGGTTTCCAGGCGCCTAGCAACTTCAAGAGTTGTATTCTTTTACTGACCAATCAGGAGCCACCATGCGGAGAGAGAAGGCCAATCACGATGTAGGATTTCGGCACCGATTTAAACCGAAGTTCAGCAGCACTTCCGGTTTTCTAAACGGAAACCTACGAGTAAAAAGACGACGAAGATTTGGAGTTAATTTATGGATTTAAGTCTGAATTTAACCGAAAATAAGGCTGTTATCAGGACGAGAGAGAGCGGAGACACGAAACGACCTGTTTATGGTGAAGGTGGTTCATGAAAAACAGCGATAGTTAGCCTGTTAGCCGCTAATATTTTAGCCTGTTAGCCGTTAAATTCGTCCTAAAATGCCGACAAAGATGGAGGATTACGAAGTTCTGTTTACGATCGGATCAGGATCTTATGGAAGATGTCAGAAAATACGACGGAAATCTGACGGAAAAGTGAGTAAAAACATACAAATATGAACACATGAATATAAACTTTTAAACATGAACAGATGAACAGCTGGACCTTTAATGAGAAACAGAGTTCATGTTAATGAAGTTAATTAAAGAGTTCATGTTAGTGAAGTTAATTAAAGTGTTCATGTTGAAAAAACTCAGTTTGAACAAAAGTTTAAATATTCAGCTTTAAACTGTTTTTATCCTGATTTATAGTTTTAACCCGATTTAACTGTTGGACTAAGCTGTGGTTCTGATGGTTAACTGTTGGACTAAGATGTGGTTCTGATGGTAATCTGTTGGATCCTGTTTTCTCTGAAGGTTAACTGTTGGACTAAGCTGTGGTTCTGATGGTAATCTGTTGGACTAAGCTGTGGTTCTGATGGTTAACTGTTGGACTAAGCTGTGGTTCTGATGGTTAACTGTTGGACTAAGCTGTGGTTCTGATGGTTAACTGTTGGACTAAGCTGTGGTTCTGATGGTAATCTGTTGGACTAAGCTGTGGTTCTGATGGTAATCTGTTGGACTAAGCTGTGGTTCTGATGGTAATCTGTTGGACTAAGCTGTGGTTCTGATGGTTAACTGTTGGACTAAGCTGTGGTTCTGATGGTAATCTGTTGGATCCTGTTTTCTCTGAAGGTTCTGGTGTGGAAGGAGCTGGACTACGGTACGATGGCGGAGAGCGAGAAGCAGATGTTGGTGTCGGAGGTGAACCTTCTGAGGGAACTCAAACACCCGAACATCGTGAGGTACCATGACCGGATCATAGACCGGACCAACACCACCCTGTACATCGTCATGGAGTACTGTGAGGGGGGGGACCTGTCCAGTCTCATCAGTCGCTGCATCAAGGAGAGGTCACGACCCCGGCTTCAGTTTCTCAACATTCAGGTTCAACGTTCATGTCAGGGATTCAGATTCTGAACCAGGATCGTGGTTTTGTTTTTGGACAGGCGGTACTTAGACGAGCCGTTTGTCCTGAGGGTGATGGCGCAGCTCACGTTGGCCCTGAAGGAGTGTCACAGACGGAGGGACGGCAGAGCCACAGTCCTTCACCGAGACCTCAAACCGGCCAACATCTTCCTGGACGCCAAACAGAACGTGAAGTTGGGAGACTTCGGCCTGGCGAGGATCCTGAACCACGACACCAGTTTCGCCAAAACCTTTGTTGGGACTCCATACTACATGTCCCCCGTGAGTTCTTAGACCTTTATTTTGACCCCTGTGAGTTTTTTATTTTATTTTGACCCCTGTGAGTTTCCGTCCTATAAACCTGAAATTTCCCCTTTTTTCTCTCAGGAACAAATCAACCGGATGTCGTACAACGAGAAGTCGGATATTTGGTCGTTGGGATGTTTGCTGTATGAACTCTGTGCTTTATCGTAAGTTCTTGTCCTCCTTCACTCGAGCTGAAGGTTTGATGAAGGTTTGGTGAAGGTGAATATCTGACGTCTTCTTCTTCTCTTCAGACCTCCATTTACTGCGTTTAACCAAAGAGAGCTGGCAGAGAAGATCAGAGAGGGCAGGTACAGACGAATCCCCTACCGCTACTCTGAGGAGCTCAACACCTTACTCAGCAAAATGCTCCACCTGAAGGTTAGAACATGTGACCAAGTTTGGTTTGATGAGGCTTCACTGGTTCTGTTCATGTTCTGATTTGGGTCGAGTCCAAAGTCTGAGTCTGTCTATTGTCAGGACTTTCTGAGACCTTCTGTGGAGTCCATCCTTCAGAGCAGCCTGTTGGCTGAAGCGGTCTCTGAGGAGCTGAGGAAGGCTCAGACCAGAGTCAGGAGAAGGTCAGCGGACTCTGACCGTCCCCTTCAAAAACCAACTGAACCTTTACCCGCCACCGCCGCAGAGCTCCGCCTCCGAGAACAGGCACTGCGGGACAGAGAGAAGGCGCTTAAAGAACGAGAGGAGAGGCTGGAGAGTAAGACCACGATGAAGTCTTTTTAATTTAATCCAAGTTTTATTCTGACTCTGCGAACGACAGTCCAGAAGTTTGTGTTTTTGTTCTTCGTCTGCAGAACGAGAGAAGGAGCTTTGTGTTCGTGAGCGACTGTCAGAGGAGAAACTCGCTCGGTAAAACCATGAACCTCATTCCTCTGTTCTTCTGTCTGTGATACCACGATAAACCTCTAATCTCTCCAACGATACAACCACAAACCTCTAATCTCGTGTTTTTAGGGCAGAGATTCTCCTGAAGCACCAGAACCGTCCACCACAGCAGCTGCAGAGGGACCTGTCACCTTTATTCCTGATCAAAAACATAGGTATGGGAAACGGGCCGGGACCTCTCAGTCCTCTGAACCGAGAGGAAAAAAAGTGATTTAATCTGTTTAATCTGTGAACGCTTTTCTGAACAATCATGTGAGTGAAATTCATTCATCAGTGTCTGAACTCTTTTGTATTAATGTACCAATAAAACTGTGATTTTAATTCATCAACTCATATTCCACCATTGACCGTCTGTAATCCAACTGTTAGTCCACATGTTAATCCATCTGTTTGGCCAGTTGATAATCCATCCAGCTGTTAATCCAGTTGTTAATCCATCTGTTATTCCAGCTGTTATTCCAGCTGTTAGTCCAGTTGTTAATCCAGCTGTGAATCCAGCTGTTATTCCAGCTGTTAATCCAGCTGTTAATCCAGCTGTTATTCCAGCTGTTAGTCCAGCTGTTAATCCAGTTGTTAATCCATCTGTTATTCCAGCTGTTAGTCCAGCTTTTAATCCAGCTGTGAATCCAGCTGTTATTCCAGCTGTTAGTCCAGCTGTTAGTCCATTCATCTGTTATTCCAGTTGTTAATCCATCCAGCTGTTATTCCATCTGATAATCCATCTGTTATTCCAGCTGTTAATCCATTCATCTGTTATTCCAGTTGTTAATCCAGCTGTTATTCCAGTTGTTAATCCAGCTGTTATTCCAGTTGTTAATCCAGCTGTTATTCCAGCTGTTAATCCATCTGTTTGTCCAGTCGTTAATCCAATTGTTATTCCAGCTGTTAATCCAGTTGTTAGTCCAACTGTTATTCCAGTTGTTAATCCAGCTGTTATTCCAGTTGTTAATTCAGCTGTTGATCCAGCTGTTAATCCAGTTGTTATTCCAGCTGTTAATCCAGCTGTTAATCCAGTTGTTAATCCAGCTGTGAATCCATCTGTTTGTCCAGCTGTTAATCCATCCAGCTGTTAATCCATCCATCTGTTAATCCAGTTGTTAATCCATCTGTTATTCCAGTTGTTAATCCATCCAGCTGTTAATCCATCCATCTGTTAATCCAGTTGTTAGTCCAGCTCTTAGTCCGGTTGTTAGTCCAGCTGCAGTAAAGCCTTGTTTTTGTTCTTCACTCCTCCCGATGATGAAGCTGCGTTGAGGTTTTACAGAAACACGTTTCGGACCGGGTCGTGACTCATGACTGTTTTTGCTCTAGATGTGGACGAGCTAGACTCCCCCAGTAAGAAGAAGGTCAGTTTTGCAGCTGAGAGTAAAGAGAACCAGCGGCCCGATGGGGGTCAGAGCGCACAGGACCGGATTCTCAGGAGGCTGCAGGTGGAGAACCTCCGCACTAAAGTTCTGAAGGACGAGGTGGAGAAGAGCTGTCCGTTCAGAACCAGGCAGATACTCGGCATCCGCTGATCGGACTGATTTCAGAACTTCAGGACATGAGAGAGTCACAATAACTGGATCTGTAAATAATCTTAATTTATCTGTAGGAGAAAAACAAACCATGAATGTTTCTGATGTGAGGGTGTGTTTGAGTTCATCCATTTCTTTGAAGCAGAAAATATGTAATATTTTAGTTTTATAATAAACACATGAACCTGCAGAAAATATAAAGCAGAAAGAATAGAAAAAAAATGTCTTATATAAAAATGTCAAATAAAACCTGTTTTCACAAATAAAGAAGTAAAATCATGAATGATTATTGATGAAATGGCAGTTTAATGTTTGTACCATTAGAATATCATGTAAGACCTAATTGGACATTTTGTTCCTGTAATTTTTAAAACGGGGTCTTTAATTTCCTCAAAACTAGGAATACATGCCGATTTGATCATGACAGATTCATCCCACCAGGGGGCGCCAGTCTGCATGGAAAGAACTGGAAAAGTGTTTTCAGACATCATGGTAGTAAGGCCCATGGACTGTATATATATTTTTATATATATGTGTGTATATAGTATATAGAGTGTGTGGTAAAGTCCATTGTCCATTGGAGTGGATTATTCTAATCCGGAGGCAGATTAGGGGAATAAACAGGTTTGTAGAAACGAATCTTCAGTTTTTATTTTATCCTCAAATGAACTTTAACAAACAAACTGAAGGTGGAGACAGATGTAACCCCAACCCTGAACGCTGGTGTCGGTACCGGCTCGGTTCGGGGCCCAGAGCCTGTGGTCCCAGTGAGACAAAGATGAGGAACTTTATTTTTGTTGGTTGATTTTATTTTTTCTTCTTTTTCTTCTTCTTGGTTTCCAGCAGACGCGTGTCTTGTTGCTGCTGCTGCCCCCCCTCCTGAAAATTGTAAATCACTAAATTTTATTTTCTCAGAATTTCTGATTTTTTCACAATTATTTGCTCTAAATATTAAATGTGTTTATCAGAGGGCTCCTTTATAACCAGGTTAAAACTCTGAATTTTATTTACTCCTGTGTTGTTTATTTTATTATATATGAAGTCTTTTTTAGTTTAAAGGTCTTTAATGATGATTGTTTGAAAATATTACAGTGAATAACTTTACAGTTGATGGTTTTCTGTATAAAACTTTATATTCTGTTATAGAAATCAGGCAGTGTCCACATTAAAACTAAAACCTCCTTTAGTTCCTATTTTAGAGTTTTAAAGTCCATGTTTGAGGATGAAGATCCTCCATTTAACAAAAACTCTTCCTCCCAGTATAACCAGTCTGTCCAGTCATGAGTTTGTCCTTTCTGTGGTTCACCTCTCAGTTCATTTTTATCAGCAAATTCACCAATTAGAGCAAATATATATTTCAATATTATTTCTCATTTATAATCCTGATGACTCGACATATTAAAGAGAGTTTTCGATTATTACAAACTAAAACATTAACAAAGAATTCTTCCAAATAAAACAACAATAAAAATAGAGAATTTTGAGTGTCTGAGGGTTTGAAAGTTCTCTGGATGTCAGACTTGATTTACCTGAAGAAAAAAAAAAACTTCTCTGAACCAAAAACTGTTTTTTGTTTTTTGTTTTTTTACACAAAACTCTTAACATCGAAACAGAATTATTGTTTTCTATGTTGTTGTTTTTTTATGTTTATTTATTCTAATGTTTTTTTTTCTGTTTCTAACCATCAAACTGATGAAGTTTCAGACAAAGTTTCAGACCTTCACTCTTCAGTTTCTCTCATTAAAACTAAAATCACTGTTTGGATTCGTTTGTCCAACTGTTAATTATCTGATTTTATTTTGAAATAAAGCGGATGTGGAGGCGGGGCTTGAGAGGAAGCGGCTGTCTCCGCCAATGGGATCGAGTGATGCAGCTCTCGCGCGGAATTCAGAGGTTGTGTTCGCGGGAAAGAGCGGAGACAAAAAACACGGAAAATAAGAGAAGAAGCTTTAAAACCGACAAAAACGGAACTAAACTAAAGTTAAACCTGAACTAAACTGCAGTTAAACCGTGTTTTTATGTCCCTGCACTTAGATCAGAGATCATTCACGGAGTAAAGATGCTTTTCCGCTCGATCGTGGACAGAAGTTTGGGTTCACGGAGGAGAAACGGTGAGTTTTATCGATCCGGTGATTGATTTTGTTCTTCAGTTTAACGTTCGATCTTCTTTGATTTGTCTGTTTCATTAACGGAGACATGTTCGTGTTTTATTTGTGGTTTAAAAGCTGATTAAATAAAATCTTTACTCCAGTTTAAACAAACGTAAAATTACGTGATTGCGTCAGTACGTCTGCAGCTCTGTGAGACGGCCGGTGTTGTGCCGTAAAATGCTCTCGTGCTGAAGAGTGACCGCGGGTAAAAGTTCAAAACAAAGAGAAATAATCCGAGTTTTCCTGACTGTGCGATGGATTTAAAAACGTTTAATGATTTAATGTTTTCTACTTTAACTGTACAGTTCATACACCGAACTAAACCTAACCATGGAGTTCATACACCGAACTAAACCTAACCATGGAGTTTATACACCGAACTAAACCTAACCATGGAGTTTATACACCGAACTAAACCTCTAAATGTGGATTTTTCAGACCCATAGAAACAGAAGGAGTTTCCTGCTCCATCCGATCTGTTTTATGATCTAAAACTCGTGTTTTTTTATAAATATCAGATCATTTTCTTCCACTTTAAGAAGGTCAGGAGAATACCGGATGCAGGGGAGCATTTTACGGCAGAACACCGGAAGTCTTCCTGACGTTCCAGGAGGTTTTCGCGGTAAAATGTTCCGGTTTCACCGACAGTGAAAAGTGAGAGATTTTAGCTGAAGTATCAGAAAATAAACTTTAATTAAAGGTTTTCAGTTATAATGTAGAAATGAAAATAAACGGCGATGATAAACTCCAACGTTAAAGTCTAATCCTAACTTAACCCTTCAAAGATAAACTCATTTAATCCTAATTATTCTTTATGTAAACGAAGTTAAACTCTGACCAGTATTTGTGTATTTTTGTCTTTATCTGTTTTATGGAGTAAAACATCTTTGAGTGTTTATGAAGTAAAAAGCTTCTTTAATTTTAATACTTGATATAAACTCACTGATCATAATGACAGTTAAGGCAGCATCTACTGTATATCTTCATTTAGACGTTATATGGTTTAACTGTGATGTTGGCTCTGAAGCTCTCTCTGCAGGGTTCTGGCCCGGTTCCCCCCTGAGTTCTCTGCTGGACGGGTTCCAGTGTGTTCGACACGATGAACATGTCTCCTATGGAAACCTGGGAGACTCTGTTCCTCCGTTTGGACTGGCCTTCTCCTCCGGTAACTAAACACGTCAGAACACGTTCAGAAAAACAACAGGAGGGTTCAGAATTCAACCATCAGACCAACATGGGCTCTCTCTCTCTCTCTCTCTCTCTCTCTCTCTCTCTCTCTCTCTCTCTCTCTCTCTCTCTCTCTCTCTCTCTGTAGTTAACAGCCTGCAGAACATCCTGGCAGCAGCGAATGAAGAGGGAATAGTTCGGATCTACGACACAGAGAGTCGAGGAAAAGTTCTCAAAGGTCCGTGTAATAATCCCCCCCCCCTCGAATAATAATCAGTTCATATTTTTTGGACTCGTTTGGACGTGGACTCGTTTTGGTTAAACGTGTGTTCATGTCTTCTGTTTTTCAGAGTGGCTGGCTCATGAGAACGCCGTGTTTGACATCGCTTGGGTACCAGGGGAACCTCAACTCGTACGTAAAACTCACTCCATGATGTTCACGATGTTTAGTCGGGAAATGTCTGATCTAGTGTGGTGGTCAAAATAACATCTGACAACAACAACAACAACAACGTCTTACAACAACAACAACATCTTACAACAACATCTTACAACAACAACAACATCTTACAACAACAACAACGTCTTACAACAACAACAACAACATCTTACAACAACAACAACGTCTTACAACAACAACAACAACATCTTACAACAACAACAACATCTTACAACAACATCAACGTCTTACAACAACAACATCTTACAACAACAACAACATCTTACAACAACAACAACGTCTTACAACAACAACAACAACGTCTTACAACAACAACAACATCTTACAACAACAACAACACCAGCAGCAGCAGCGATCATCAACAAACTGAAAGATTCCTTATTTAATAATGAAAGTCAAAGACAGAGAGCTCTTTCTCTCCTTGGGTCATGTTGTTCATGCGTTCATGTTGTTCATGCGTTCATGTTGTTCATGTGTTCATCCGTAGGTGACAGCAGCTGGTGATCAGACGGCCCGGCTCTGGGATGTGAAGTCTGGGGACCTGTTGGGCAGTTTTAAGGGTCACTTATGCAGCTTAAAGTCCGTCTCATTTTCACCGCAGGAGAAAGGTTTGACCTTTAACCTTTCAACCTTTAAACTCATGATTTTAGATTTTTACACGATTCATGATTGATTGATTTATTTAAATGCCTACGTAGCTCCTGTTTAATCTTGTTAGTTATTTATGTTCTTCTATTTTATCTGCTTATATATTTTATAATGAAACTGTTTTTAATTCTGCTGTTTTCAGTCTCCTCACCGTTATCGTTTTCACCTTATTGTGACAATAAAATATTCATAATCAAATATTCATCTTTGTTTTCTGTCGTCGTGCAGCTGTCTTCTGTACCGGGGCCAGAGACGGAAATATTATGGTCTGGGACACCAGGTGCAGCAAAAAAGGTGAAAATCAGGAGAAAAGTCGCCTGATCAAAGATTTAATGTCGGAAAGTTTCTTCATCTCTGATCCTCTTCAAGAACCGAACTCACACACAGACACAAACACACACAGACACACACTTGTTAGATATCGTCCCTGTGGACCGCCCACGTTTGTCAGCCTTGTTTTTGTCCAGTGACGGCTGGGATAGGCTCCGCCCCCTGGCCAATAGAAAGTCTTTCAGGTATTCTCGGTTGAGCTCAGGTGAGCGATCAGAGGCGCTCTCTCATATTCTGATGTCTCCGTCCCAGACGGTTTCTACAGACAGGTGAAACAGATCAGCGGCGCTCATAACAAAGCTGAGACAGCCCCTCCCATCAGAGCCAAGAAAAGGCGGCCCACCCCCCGCGGCATGGCGCCCAGCGTGGTAGGTGTTTTTATTGAAGTGGATTTATTGGGAGTACCGGTCTGAACAGAGAGGAGGCTGATCTTTGGTGGTTCTCTTCCAGGATTCTCAGCAGAGCGTCACCGTGGTTTTATTCCAGGATCAGCAGACCCTGATTTCTTCGGGCGCCGTTGATGGGTAAGACCCCTCCCCCCTCCCTCTGTGATCAAAGAAAGTTTGAAAATGACGATTTTTCCGATTTTGACTGTTTTCCTCTCCAGAGTGATCAAGATGTGGGACCTGAGGAAGAACTACACCGCACACCGTCAAGACCCCGCCCCCCTGCAGACGTACCCCTACCCGGGCTCCTGCACGCGCACGAGACTGGGTGAGTTTGACACTTGGATCCAGAATCTTCTGGACGGTTCATCAGTGAAAACAGAGCGGGGGGGTCGACCAGTTCGGACCGCTTAAACGGGTCTGTTTTAGGGGCGTGGCCAGGTGGACCCACAAACTCCAGGTTCAGTTCAGGATCTGCGGGCTTAGGTCGTGTGGACGTCATCACACGGCGCTAACAGTGTCCCATTTGGCTTGTGATTCTGAGCGCGCTTCAGATGCGGTCCCAAAACCACCCTGACCCCGCCCCTTTTTTCGAGCGTGATTTGATGCACACTTCCTGGCCTTGGAATCCCAGAATTCTTTGAGTGACGCTGCACAGCTGCGCATTTCAGGTGAGATGTCAGACTCACCTGGAGACGCAGGAAATCCAAGAACACAGTCAGCTCAGGCTGCGTGAGCGCGTGACCTCTGACCTCCTGAAAATCTGTAAACCAAACACGATAAACTGATCGGCTCTGCGACACGATCAAACACACCAGAAATAAGAAAGACGACAAAACGACAGCAGCGATTAAAGTAAATAAAGTCATGAAGCTCCGCCTCTCTGACACCGGCGGTAACCTCCACCCGCAGAGACACCAACCAATTATCAACTTTATTCTCATAAATTAACGACTTTAATCTCATAAATTAACGACTTTAATCTCATAAATTAACGACTTTAATCTCATAAATTAACGACTTTAATCTCATAAATTAACGACTTTATTCTCATAAATTAACGACTTTAATCTCATAAATTAACGACTTTATTCTCATAAATTAATGACTTTAATCTCATAAATTAACGACTTTATTCTCATAAATTAATGACTTTAATCTCATAAATTAACGACTTTATTCTCATAAATTAACGACTTTAATCTCCAAGTCTTAAAAAAAATCCTTATTTTATGTTGCCTGATACTTCGTCGGACAAAACCTTCGCCATCATGGATCAATCAGGTGTTATTGATCTGTAAAGTCCGTCCCTCTTTGTCGTTTGTTGTAAACTCTTGTGTGTCTCTCAGTGTGTGTTGTTTTGTGTGTGTATCTTCTGTTGTGTTTATGTAGTGTATGTGTAGACTGCTGAGGGGGCGGAGACCTCAATAATGAACTCATGTGGTTCTTGATGAATAAATGGACCCTGAGAACCAGAACCAGAAGTTTTTAATTTTAATATTAAATATGAATTTAATTTTTAATAACTTTAATATTTCAGGTTATTCAGGACTCGCTCTGGACTCCTCCAGATCCAACATCATGTGTAACTGCACTGACGACAGCATCTACATGTTCAACATCAGCGGGATAAAAACCACTCCAGGTAAACGCCTCATGAAATCACCGCCTTCTCCGACCACCAGGTGGGGCTGTAAACCAGGGTGATAGAGAGAGTTCAGTATCAGGGCTCTGTTTCAAAGACGTTCACAGATAAACGAACAGGTTTGAACATTCGTGTCAGAAAAAGATGTAAAGATTTAATGAGTTATTGATCCTCCAGATAATCAGACTGTCGGCTCGTTTAGACACAGAGGACCGATCGATGTTAATGATCGGTAGAAGAATCGTTTCACGGTTCTCATGGTGTGTTTTTGTTTTTTTTTCGTCCCAGTTGCGGTTTTCAGCGGTCACCAGAACTCGTCCTTTTATATCAAATCCTCCGTCAGTCCAGACGATCAGTTCTTGGCGAGTGGCTCAAGTGACAACCACACCTACATCTGGAAGGTACCGATGATTCTGCTGCTCTGAAACAGAACCGCGTTTGGGTCTGTGGTGTTCTGATGGGATCAGGACCGTGTTTGAGGATTTGTTGTCTTTTATTTTGAAGGTCTCCGACCCCACACTTCCTCCCCTGATGCTCCAAGGCCACAGTGAGGAGGTGACGTGTGTTTCATGGTGTCCCACAGACTTCACCAAGGTGACGCCATGACTCAGCTGTTAGGAGAATTAACCCGAACCCTGTCAGAATCTGGAGATAAATAAACATATATAAATATAATAAACATACTGTATATATAAATATGTTTATTAATATAATGACGGTTGAATCCGGCTGATGGCGTTGGTTGTAAACGGCGTTTTTCTCTCCTCGGCTCTGTCGGCAGATTGCGACCTGCTCCGATGATCACACTGTTCGGATTTGGAGACTTCACAGGGACATGGATGGAGTCCAGTCTTCAGTGGGGGAGGCCAACCTTGTGGGCTGGGCCCGTCACAGACCCCCCTCAGGTAAGTCCTGGACCTCTGATGAACCTCAGGTTCAGGTCGACACGGTTTCTCATGTGAACTTCTGTTTTTGTTTAGGACCTGAAGTCCAACCCGAGTCCACTCCTGCGAAGACCCCGCGGACAGAGAGTCTTTGTGGACTGTCCTCCCCACAGCTGGCTGTCTGTGCTCCCAGCGGCGCCGCCCTGCCTCTCCCCTCCATCACCACCTCACCTCTCCCCTCTCAGGACGCCAAAGCTGCGGCGGCCCGTCAGAGAACCCCGTCCACCATCAGACAGTGGCTGTCCCCGAACCGTGGGTCTCCCGTCCGGGTCAGCCCTTCCATCCACATGGTGCCGAGTCCACGTCCTGAGAGCCCGGCGAGTGCCCCCCCTCCAACAGAGCGGCGTGCCAAACGCAGGCTAGAAACCGAAGAAAGCTCGACCACAAGCTGCGAGAGCGCCGAAAAGTGCACCTGTGTTTCTGAACTGGACCCCGCAGCCAAGAGGAGCCGGGTCCTGTCTGAGTTCTGCTGCCCGGCTCGAGTCCAAACGGACTGTCCCGCTGAGGACAGAGAGCGATCGTCCCCGAGACAGAAAGACAAGGAGAACTTTTCTCCAAGGAGAGCGGACTGGTTATCAGTGATGGGCCAAAAGATGAGGAACGGTCAGGGAAGTTCTCCCAGAAGCCCCAGCACGTCCAAAAAGACGCCGGGCTCTCAGGTGAGTTCACCTGTGGAAGTTTTCCTGACAGTGAAGAGACTCGGGATCTCTCCTGAGAACTGTTCCCTCAGCAGCTGTGAGATTATTATCATGAGATTAAAACAATCGAAGAACTTTTCATACTTTAGAATTTGATATAAAAACAGTTTTTCATACCCGAGAATCGAAGAGCGATTGTAAAACTAAAGATTTTACTGACATGAGTGTTAAAGTTTCATCTTCATCGTCCGACCTTCATCAGTCCGTTAAATCATGTTTATGGAGAAACATGAAGATTCATATTAAGGTCAACTCTGTATGACTGAAATAAAAACTCACTGACTGCAGATGAAGGTCTGTGTTCATGCATGGAAATGAGTTTTAACCTTTGACCTTTCTGCCCTTGTTGATTTCAGACCACCTCCTCACCTCAGGCGATGAAGAAAATCTCCACCTACTTCACCAGGAGGCCTCTGGACTGACCTGAACTTTGAGACGTTGTTTCTTTGTATTTTTGGACTGTTTCCACAATCTGATGGATGACCCTGAGCTCTGCAGGGTGAGGGTCAGCGACAAAGTGAGGGTCAGCGACAAAGTGAGGGTCAGCGACAAAGTCAGGGTCAGCGACAAAGTGAGGGTCAGCGACAAAGTGAGGGTCAGCGACAAAGTCAGGGTCAGTGACAAAGTGAGGGTCAGCGACAAAGTGAGGGTCAGCGACAAAGTCAGGGTCAGCGACAAAGTGAGGGTCAGCGACAAAGTGAGGGTCAGCGACAAAGTGAGGGTCAGCGACAAAGTGAGGGTCAGCGACAAAGTGAGGGTCAGCGACAAAGTGAGGGTCAGCGACAAATACAGGGTCAGCGACAAATACAGGGTCAGCGACAAAGTGAGGGTCAGCGACAAAGTCAGGGTCAGCGACAAATACAGGGTCAGCGACAAAGTCAGGGTCAGCGACAAAGTGAGGGTCAGCGACAAAGTGAGGGTCAGCGACAAATACAGGGTCAGCGACAAATACAGGGTCAGCGACAAAGTGAGGGTCAGCGACAAAGTCAGGGTCAGCGACAAATACAGGGTCAGCGACAAAGTCAGGGTCAGCGACAAAGTGAGGGTCAGCGACAAAGTGAGGGTCAGCGACAAAGTCAGGGTCAGCGACAAAGTGAGGGTCAGCGACAAAGTGAGGGTCAAACATGGACCTGGATGTAGTTGAAGCGGTGTGTTTTTCTCCGTCCCAGGTGACGGCTGTTTTATTTGAAGGGGGTCAGAGGTTTTTCAGTTTCCTCCCACACAAATTTCTGTGCTGAGCAGAATCTGATTGAAACACAAAAGTCAAGTGTTGCTGAAAAATGTTCTTGTTTGACTCAAATGTGAATCCAAAGATCCCACATTTCAGTTCAAACAGGTGATTATTGATGAACTTCACCAACACGGTATGAACTTTATTTCTAAACTCCATCTCGGGGTTTTTTCCTGTCAAAGATCGAACATCTGAAACGTCATCATGTCATTCTCTCTCCTCGTTCACTTGTTTATATGTAAAATATTTCCACCGATTGTTGTTTGGTTTGTATTTAAGTTCCACTTTTGCTGTGGTCAGATTTTATTAAACTCACAGTAGTTTTCCGTTTGTCCCTCTTATTGAATTTACTCTCCTTTTCTTTGCTGACAGTTTCTGTTAATCTCTCAGATTTTCTAAACTTGATCAGGATTTTCTCGGACAGTTTGGATGTTTAGGGAGCAGAAGGAGTCGGAGGGACCAGCAGGTACAGGTGCTGACCCGGCTTGTTTCAAATACAAGAGTTACACTCAGAGTGATAAAGGATGAAAAACTTCAATAATCCCCGCGGGGGGGGGGGGGGGATTTTCATTACAGTAACTCCAGTTTAAATAAAGTAGAAACAAGAGATTATAATAATAATAATAATAATCTGTACAAATTAAGAGATAATACACAAGTATTTATGTACACACTAAAATATACAAATATAAACACTATAATATTAAAGTATTTATAATATCCAACCCAAATTAGTTAAATAGTATTAATACTAATCAATAGTATTAATACTAATCAATAGTATACTAAACCGTTCCCGTTAATCGAACCCCTTACAAAGACTCTGGGCTGAGACACGGATCGGAACCTCCCTATCAGAACCCGGTGTCATGTGTTGGCCCGGTCAGGGTTCGGGTTCGGGTTCGGGTTACCGCTCACTGAACTCTGAACGTCATGTATTTGTTTTCAGGAATCACATGTTCTGAGCCCACTGTCCTCGCGCACTGATTGGTTGAAAAAGTTTACGGTTTGGTGTGTTCTCTGCTTCTGATTGGCTGTTGGAGCTGTCAGTCAGTGACGTCGCGCTGTCAGGCTCTGCAGTGTTGAACAGAACAGGGAGTGTTTGTACCGAACTCGACATCCACTCATCTGTTCTGTTCGGATAAACGCGGTTCTGGACCGGTTCTGACGCCGGGAACACCGTCTTCGGTTCGGAGGGTCGACGTGTTCGCTCGGTTCTGGACTCAGAGTGAACTTTGAGGCGCTAAAACAGACTCGGTCGTCGAGCTAAATCGAACTTGATCGATCGTCGATAGTTGTTCAGAAATCCGGAGCTTCATTCTGACCCGGATTAAAACTGCGCCGTGGTTCGTGGACCGTGGTTCTGACAGCAGAACCGTGAAGACTGTGGTTCTGGTTCCGTTTGTAACTTTAAGGAGAATCTTCGAGGAGAATCAGGGAAGCTAATCTGAGCTAACAGCTAACAGACATTAGCAGGTCGAGGAAGTTTGGGCCGGAGGTTCCGGTTCGGAGAGAGACCCACTTCAAGAGACCATGGTTCCGACAACAGGTGAACGAGTTTATATTAAACACCAAGAAGAAAGAAAGAAAAAAAGAGTTTGAGAAGAAAATTCAGAAAAACAAGAAAAACTCATTTTTACTGTTTAAGATTCAAACCGAGAGGAAAGAAGAAGAACTTTGTCCAAATGAAACAGAACCGAACCTGCAGGATCTGAAACACCATGCTGGACTACACTGAAGAGGAAGGAGAAGAACAGTAGAACCGGACCAGGACCTGGACCTGGACCTGGACCTGGACTGGAGGACGAGAGAAAAACTTCAACATCCGGAGAAAAAGAAACTTCACTGAGAACAACTACTCCTTCTTCTCCTCCTCTACTCCTCTCTCTCCTCTCCTCTTCCTCCTCCTCCTCTCCTCTCTTCTCCTCCTCCTCTCCTCCTCTCTCCTCCTCCTCCTCTCTCCTCCTTCTCTCTCCTCCTCCTCCTCCTCCTCCTCTAAGATGTCGTCCATCTCAGCAGCTGAGAAGGTGGACGGGTTCACCAGGAAGTCCATGAGGAAGGCTCAGAGACAGAGGAGGTCTCAGGGTTCTTCTCAGTTCCGGACTCAGAGCGCCGCCGTGGAGCTGTCCTCTCTGCCCCCCCTCAAAGGTAAGAGGATGAAGGTCTGAGATAGACCCCCTGCTGACAGGAGAGACCGCCCTCAACTTTAACTTTATCTTTAAAACAACCACAGATGATCAAAGAGCCGCACGGACAAAACAACGCAGACATAAAAACACAATTAAAATAATTAAAAAACAGTTAAAATAATTAAAGAAACAATAAAAACACAATTAAAACAATTAAAAACAGTTAAAATAATTTAAAAACAGTTAAAATAATTAAAGAAACAATAAAAACACAATTAAAAAACAGTTAAAATAATTAAAAAACAGTTAAAATAATTTTAAAAAACAGTTAAGAATTTAAAAAACAGTTAAAATAATTAAAAAACAGTTAAAATAATTTAAAAAAACAGTTAAAATAATTTAAAAATAGTTAAAATAATTAAAGAAACAATAAAAACACAATTAAAAAACAGTTAAAATAATTAAAAAACAGTTAAAATAATAAAAAAAACAGTTAAGAATTTAAAAAACAGTTAAAATAATTAAAAAACAGTTAAAATAAAAAAAAAAACAGTTAAAATAATTTAAAAATAGTTAAAATAATTAAAGGATGGATAAAATAGAAGTAGATTTTAAAAAGTAAAATATAGTTTTTAAAATTTACAAACATAAAACTAAAAACTCTAAAACACTGAAACAGGAGGACATAGGAGGTCCATGATCAATAATCCCCTCAGAGCTTCAGTTTGGACCTCAGAACCTCCAGGAGCAGATGATCAGCTGATCTGAGGCGCCCAGCGAGCGAGTGAGCGGGGCTGTAGGAGACCCTGCTGTTAGTCCTCCATCACTCAGAGAGACCAGGACCAGCAGGTCCAAAGACCAGGACAGGAACTTCTCCTGAGGTTAGATCAGAGTTTTTCTGTTCCTCCTAAAAATGTCCAAAAAAACCTCAAAGAGTTTAAGAGAGGGGGGGCTGACTGACAGGTGTGTGTGTGTGTCTGTCTGTGTGTGTGTGTGTGTGTGTGTGTCTGTGTGTGTGTGTCTGTGTCTGTGTGTGTGTGTGTGTGTGTGTGTGTCTGTGTCTGTGTCTGTGTCTGTGTCTGTGTGTCTGTGTCTCTGTGTGTGTGTGTGTGTGTGTGTGTGTGTGTCTGTCTGTCTGTGTGTGTGTGTGTGTGTGTGTGTGTGTGTGTGTGTCTGTCTGTCTGTCTGTGTGTGTGTGTGTGTGTGTGTGTGTGTGTGTGTGTGTGTGTGTGTGTGTGTGTGTCTCTGTCTGTCTGTCTGTCTGTGTGTGTGTGTGTCTGTGTGTCTGTCTGTGTCTGTCTGTGTCTGTCTGTCTGTGTCTGTGTGTCTGTGTGTGTGTGTGTCTGTCTGTGTGTGTGTGTGTGTGTGTGTGTGTGTGTGTCTGTGTCTGTGTGTCTGTGTGTGTGTGTGTGTGTCTGTCTGTCTGTCTGTGTGTGTCTGTCTGTGTGTGTGTGTGTGTGTGTGTGTGTGTGTGTGTGTGTGTCTCTGTCTGTCTGTCTGTCTGTGTGTGTGTGTGTCTGTGTGTCTGTGTGTCTGTCTGTGTCTGTCTGTGTCTGTGTGTGTCTGTGTCTGTCTGTCTGTGTCTGTGTGTGTGTGTGTCTGTCTGTGTGTGTGTGTGTGTCTGTCTGTCTGTCTGTGTCTGTGTCTGTGTCTGTGTGTGTGTGTCTGTGAACAGATGTTAGCAGCGATCACGGCGCTCAGGTCTGCTCTGGGTTCTGGACGACTAAAGTGCAGGAAGTGAAGCGTGGCGCTCTGTGAAAATAGGGGCGTCGCTGTGAGACGATGATGGCGAGTTTGTGGTCAGTTGATGCAGGTCTGTGTTTGGGGTGGAGGGGGTCCATGGGGGCGGTTCTGAAGGTCTGACCTGCTCAAGGACAGAAGATTCAGGATCGATTTGAACTTTAAAGTTTTTAAAGATCTCGTCTCTGAAAATATTGACCTCTTTTGGATCCAGAACTGCAGTCCGATCTAAACCTGGACCTGATCAGACCTTCTGTAGGTCCGACCGAGTCGATCTAAACCCTGTTTACTCAGATTCACTCTCACCTGTGTCCTCGGACATGTCCCGACCACCTTACAGTGAGCGAACATGGAAACGTTCAGTCGAGGTTTCAGAGTCAGTTCGATAATTCACTCTAATAATAATAATAATAATAAAAGATCAGTTCTCTGCCTCACAGAGTTTCTCTGCCTCACAGACAGCAGACAGTCTCTCCTCTCTCCATGAAAATCACATCCATATGTTCTTATTAAAAAGCTGAGGAGTGATTTTCTTCAACAAGCCTGAACAGTTTCTGATTCTGAGTGTTTGTGACGGTGAGAGGAAGATCAGAGTCGAAGAGTTTGACTTGTCTGGTCAAGTTGGAAGTTTTCAGCGTGATGAAACTTTTAAAGCTCGGTTACCCCCGACAACGGCTACCTGACTGTTTTTAATGCTGAATGAAATAACGGATCTAATGTCTGACATGATGTTTACAAAGATGGTTTTTCTACAGGGAGTCAGACTGACTTTCTGACCGACTGTCTCTGACTTCAGAGGATTTCATTTGTCATGTTTACTTTTCCCAGTATAAGGAAACCAGTCTGATTACTGGGTCAGGGTCCATTCTCACTGGTTTGAGTTCAATGATTGAATGAAAACTCTTTTTACAGTGATAACGACAGCTCATCCTGAGTGTTGTCAGTAAATATCAGCCGAGTTAGAAAGTGTTGACTGTAAATAAACTTTGACCCAGAAACGTCTCGGATGACTAGAGACTGAGGCGTCACAGACGAGTGTCAGTGTCTGTGTCAGTGTCAGTGTCTGTGAATTCATGTGGAATATTCAAAGTTACAAACAACAGCTCCTGTTTATGGAGAGTGAAGATGTGATGCTAATATAATAATACATGTTTTTAATGATAGTTTCTTATATATAATAATATATATATTTATTTCAGAGTATATGACAGTTTCTTATATATAATAATATATATATTTATTTTAATATCAGAGTATATAATAATTATAATATATATATTTATTTTAATATCAGAGTATATTCTTGATGACGGTCTCTTCATCAGAAGTCAGCCGCCCTCTCGCTCGCTCGTTTTGAGACTCCTGGGCGTGTCCTAAAGTCAGCAGCGTGGGTTTTTTTCTCCTACTTTGCATTAAAATGTGGAAGTTCATATTTTCACTTTCAGGACCTGCTGTCCATCAGATCGTTTCGAGGCTCACCGCGTTTACAAACCAGAACCCAAAGAAAGGCAGTTCCTATTTTTGCTCACTCTCCCTGAAAATCCCACGTTTGCGCTCTGCCTCGAGGATGTTTCAGAACCGGTCACAATGGTTCCAGCTTGTTTAAATTCATCAATTCACCATCTGTTGTCTAGTAACAGACAACTGCATGACTCATATCAGAGTGTGTGGTTACAGAGAGCACTGACAGCATGCACACAGGAGCACAGATCTATTCATTTAGAGTCTATGTTCGAGTGTAAATGTGATGAAAATATCTGATCATCTGCTGTCCACCCGGACCGGTCAGAACACAGCAGAAGAGGTTCCTCATAGAGGTGGTACTGTGCTGTCAGCCCAGTATTAGAACCAGAACCCAAAAGTACTGAGCGTCTGAAGACCCAAATACCACCGACAGTCAGCAGCCCCCCCCCCCTCAATATTATTGATCACCATTCAGATCAATACAAACGTCAATCCTGAGTAAAGGTGAGGATTCAGTGGAACAGATGATTGTTGTTGACAGAGAGGATAAAAGAAGAAGAACAGACACTGTGAGTTCATGTCTGTTAATGTCTGTAACATCATCACTGTTTACAACAGACATGAACTCCTGCTCAACTACAGACGTCCTGGTTCAGACTCCCAATCATTCTTTAGTCCTCTTTAGTTCCTGGTCTGCAGACCGAGAACCTCACGCCTTCTTCCTGTGGCGGTTGGCGTTCCTGTGTTTCTCCTTCCTGTTGCGGTTGGCGTTCCTGTGTTTCTCCTTCCTGTTGCGGTTGGCGTTCTCGTGTTTTTCTTTCCTGCGGCGGTTGGCGTGCTTGTGTTCCTCCTGTTGTTTGATCGACACTGAAAGGATGAGTCACTCGGAGACCATCACTGTTTCCACGGTAACCAGAAGCCTTGAGAGCGAGTCGGGGAAATGTTGTACTTTCTAAATTCAGCCTCTTCTTCTTCTTCATTTAGGTTCGGTTATTTCTGTCGCTCGTATTTCGGTTCTCGCCGCCCCCTCACATGACCTCAAACTCTCTTCAGGAGGACGGACGAGCGTTTCGTCTAAAAACAGAAAATCAGTCTGTAGTTCAAACTGAGGAGGAGGAGGAGTTTTCTCTTCTTCATCCTCTCACAAACGGCGTCCTTCATGGTAACCATCTCCAACATCAACTCTGATTGGATGATTTAGGGGTCAAAGGTCACTGTTAAATTCTGGTACTCTGTTAGATCTTTCTGTCCGTATAACCAGGACACTGACCGACTTGTCTGTGTGAGGACACAGACACAAACTCGTCTGTGTGATTATCTCTTTAATCCATCATCACTGAACCGGATTATAATCTGCTCCTGTACGATAATCGTGTCTGTAGTTCCTGTACGATAATCCTGTCTGTAGCTCCTGTACGATAATCGTGTCTGTAGTTCCTGTACGATGATCGTGTCTGTAGCTCCTGTACGATAATCGTGTCTGTAGTTCCTGTACTATAATCGTGTCTGTAGCTCCTGTACGATAATCGTGTCTGTAGTTCCTGTACGATGATCGTGTCTGTAGTTCCTGTACTATAATCGTGTCTGTAGTTCCTGTACGATAATCGTGTCTGTAGTTCCTGTACGATAATCGTGTCTGTAGTTCCTGTACGATAATCGTGTCTGTAGTTCCTGTACGATAATCGTGTCTGTAGTTTCTGTACTATAATCGTGTCTGTAGCTCCTGTACGATAATCGTGTCTGTAGTTCCTGTACGATAATCGTGTCTGTAGTTCCTGTACGATAATCGTGTCTGTAGTTCCTGTACAATAATCGTGTCTGTAGTTTCTGTACGATAATCGTGTCTGTAGTTCCTGACTCACAGACCTGATGGTCCTGAGGGTCAAAGTGGATCCTTTAGGGGTCTTTGTGGTCTCTCTGCTGATCAGTTCTGCGGTTCTTGAGACCGGTCCTGGTCCTGATCTCAGACAGAACCTGATCAGTTTCCGATCAGAACAGAAGAAGTGAAATCGACTCTTCTGATCAGTTTATTATTGATCTTCTTTGACTCTGTCTGAAGCTCTGAGGGTCTCCTGAAGTCCATCATGTGGAGGTAGATGTCCTCAGCTCTGTCTGCTCTCTGCTGTGAATTTGACCTCTTTGGTTTAACCAAAGGTTAAAGGTCAGATTGTAGACTGAAACGCTCCCTCTCTCACCCCTCCAGTTGATGACGGTGGCCTTTAAGGACACGTGATAAAAAGTTCGTTCCTTGTGTGTCTTAATTCTGACCATCTTCTTTATTATCTTCGAACTCGTGTCGAAACACTCGGCCTCCAAAGTTTGTCCTGCTAAATCTGACAGATTTCTGCCTTTGAGGCCGAAAAGACAAAAAGAATCCGATTGATCGTCTGATTATCTTTGGTCAGGCGTTCACAGTCATAAGCTGTGATAAAACTTCTGTGTGTCAAATTATCAATCTAAAATCAAACTCTGAATTTTCACCGTTTTGTCTCCCTGACCTTCAGCTGTGACTCGTAAATGTCCCGTTAGAGAAAACCTCTTCACTGTTTGGGTTTATTGATTAACAAAGTGTGCTCCACTGTCTGTTTCCATCATGTCTGCCAGCAAATAGCAAATCAATCAATAATTTTCCAGGACATACTAAAGTGACCGAGCGTTTGTGTGGAGGTTTGTGTTCTTGTGTTTGTTGGTCTCATAATTGTGGGTCAGGTAAAGAAAAGTGCTGCCTCATCACTCTTCACTGTCTGCTGGCAGAAAAACACGGTCGTGTGAAACTTCGCCCCCGTAATGACCAGCTGTAACAGGGGCTGGGTGTCATCACCTTATAATGAGACCTGACGAGTCGATCACAGACTACAGCGGGGTGACGCAGCTCAAGGAAGAACATTTATGATCATTTCTTCATGGAAATACAATCAGACCGAGACGCTAAGACAGAAGAACTACCGCGTCTGTAAAATGATTAATATGGTGATTATTACTTCAAGGAAATGATAAAGAAATGATCATAAATGTTCTTCCTTGAGCTGCGGCACCCCGCTGTAGTCTGTAATGGACTGGCCTGAGGTCTCTCTACAAACAAGCAGCTGCTGGAAGAGAGTAGGTGAGTTGTGTTTAGTCTCTTTGCTAAAGAAATGAGTCAAAGTTAAAAAGATGTTTGGTGTCTAGTACTATGTCTGTGACCCTATATGTCCTGTTGATGAAGTTAGGTGCTGTTCTGAACATTATTTGTGGCTATAGAGTGGCGTTTTGGTTGGGGGCGTGTCTCTCTGTATTTCTATCCTGCGGTCGTTACTAAAGTTGGTATAACTAGAGAAGGAAGCGGTCGACAACATTCATCTCTGGAGGGGGCGGGGTCTAACTCAGTGTTACGGTGGGTTTGACCCTAAATTAATTTTACGGCGGAATATCCCTTTAAAGGGTTGGTTATCCAGAACTGCCTCAGTCGGTGCCGACAGGTCCTGATATATGTATTACAGATGTATTATTGAGGACACTGAAGCTCTGATTGGTCAGAGAGTAAAGATTCGTGTCTCATAAACTGTCAGTGAAGTTTCCTCACAGCTGCAGCTTCATTATTTCACACTCTGACCAAACGAGTTTGTGTCTCATTAACTGACAAACGTTTAGTCTCTGAGAAAGCAGGAAGTTCTTCGATAACAGACGGGTAACTTCTTAATCCCAGTGAGGGTTTATGAGCCTAAAGTTCTGAAGATCCTGCTGATGGAGCACCACAGCTCTTCAGATGTCTGCTGCTGCTGTGGTCCTCCTGGTTCCACTGGTTCCTGTTGATGCTGACATCAGGAGTGTTTCCTCTCTGGGGGTTTTACTCGTAGTTTGGCACAAACGGGGGGTCAGAGGTCCGTTTTTTGAACAGTGTGAAACCTTCTTTTCACTTTTCATGAGAACTAGAAGTTTGCCTGCGAGTTCAGCGTGGTGTCCTGACCTTCAACACCTTATTGACTTCTCTGTTCACTGATCTAATAGATGATAATGGAGGACACCATCAGGCAAAGCTCTGCCGATTGGCTAATCACTGCATTAAACATCTGATATGGCGTGTAAATGTTTTAGGCCGCTCGTGGTCAAAAGCAAAATTGGCAACAAATATGAGTTTTTACCGATTTTGTTAAAGAGGCCGAACAACGATAACGAGGACGGGCTGTGGGACACGTGAGGCAGGAGACGACCACATGACGCAGGAGACGACCCAGAGACGAGCAGAGCAAGGTCAGCTGTCACAGTCAGACCGACTGTAACACACACCTGTGTGGAATCTTGAAGCTCCTTACAGACAAAACTCAGGTTAAACTTTTACAACCGAACCGTCGAGGCGTCTTCATAAACGACCGCCGACATCCTGCTGCTGATTGGCTCTATCATTATTAACCACACTTTAACCTTTGCGGGATACCAGCTGCTCTGTCCGACACAAAACCGCGGCTGACAGAAGAAATCCAAAAGTTTTATTGGTTCATCATCTTCAAGATTTCAAACTCAGGACGGCCGAGTGTCTGAAGTGATTCCCTCTCTGTTCACTGTGAGGCGCTGGTTTGACTGAGTCATGTTAGTCCATCATCTCCAAAGTCTTTCTTACCTTTAATTTTCATTCTTACATTCAAGACAGAGCTAATAATAATGTTATTAAAGTCAGAGTTAATAATAATGTTATTAAAGTCAGAGTTAATAATAATAATGTTATTAAAGTCAGAGTTAATAATAATAATAATGTTATTTTAGTCAGAGTTAATAATAATAATATTATTAAAGTCAGAGTTAATAATAATAATGTTATTTTAGTCAGAGTTAATAATAATAATATTATTAAAGTCAGAGTTAATAATAATGTTATTAAAGTCAGAGTTAATAATAATAATGTTATTAAAGTCAGAGTTAATAATAATAATATTATTAAAGTCAGAGTTAATAATAATAATATTATTAAAGTCAGAGTTAATAATAATAATGTTATTAAAGTCAGAGTTAATAATTATGTTATTTTATTTAGAGTTTATTATGTTTTGATAAGTAAATGTTACGGTACACTTTGTGAATGTCACTTTGCTGCTCGATTTGCAGAAATTTGTAAATTAAATTGAAGTTTCTGGCAGAAAAATCTTCATTGGATCTCCTCCTGAGATCGTTCAGCCCGACATTTATAAGGCCTGTATATTAGTGTAAGCTCAGAGGTTCTGGTTCTGCTGTAAACGGGCTCAGTCTGCAGAGATGAGCTGTTGTTGGAACATGACTGTTCTCTGTGTCGCCACATTTATGAACGGCTGCCAAAGTCTGTTTATAGCTGAGCTGAGGTCAAGTTTGACAGCTCTAATAACCCTGAGCGCTCTCACCGTCTAATCCATAAAAGGCTTTACCATCAGAACCGCTGCCTGCCCCGGTCTGTTCTGTTTGTCTGCAGTTTTATTCAAGTGTGATGGAGCAGCTGCTCTGAACTTTGGAGGATGTTCATTTCTCTTTTCTGTGTCAGACTCTCTTTTATTCCGAGTTTCCAGTGGTTTGGGTTTTAAAAACAAAACTTCCTGTTTGAGTGGGTCAGATTTTATTTCTGCAGAACCAGGTCACCTGAAGGTCCATCTGCAGCAGTATTTTCTCATGTTTTCAGTTCATGAATCCGTTTCTGCCTGTTCTTCTGTTTTTCCCAGATGCCCCGTCCACAGAGCAGCAGGAACTCTTCACCCAGAAACTCCAGCAGTGCTGCGTCCTCTTTGACTTCCTGGACTCGGTGACAGACCTGAAGAGTAAGGAGATCAAGAGGGCCACGCTGAACGAGCTGGTGGAGTACGTCTCCACCAACAGAGGGGTGCTGGTGGAGTCCACGTACCCGGAGATCACCGACATGGTGAGGGAACCCGACTCTGATTACTTTAGTCAGTTATCTGGAAAAAGTCTGTCTGATCGCTCTGAAGTTCAGTCACATGACAACGCAGACCCCCCCCCACTCCACAGTCTGAGCTCTTATAAAGGATTAATAACAGGAGACTGATCATGAGTTTAGACGGGGTCTGGGTCTGACCAGGAACATGTTTTTGTCTTCATACTGGACTCAACAAACCGACTCTGAACCTGCAGCAGAAACAACAAAAGACTTTTCTGCTTTTTCACAACCGAGTAATCACGATTCATACACACACACACACATATATATATACACACACACACACACACATATATATATATACACACACACACATATATATATATACACACACACACACACATATATATACACACACACACATATATATATATACACACACACACACACACACATATATACACACACACACACACACACACACACACACACATATATATACA